CACATTTGAGCTCAGCTCAGTCTCCAAAGCTCCTTTTTATTCTTCATTCTCTACTGCAGTTCTAAGCTAAATTGGAATGAGCAAAAACCTGTCAGATGGTCAGGGGCAGCTGTAGAGGGGAGACGTGGTCTCCAGGAGGAGCCCAGAGAGTTGAATTAAAATCCCAGCATTTCTGCTGCCCTGGTGCAAGAAGGTGGGCAGTCCCTAGTTTTCTGAGCCTCAGTTTCCTCATCTGCAAAGTGGGAATGACAACAGTTGTTTTGCTGGCTTGCAGGGAGGGCGAAGTGAGTGAGTAGTTATCCAGGGCCTGCTCAGAGCAGATGCTCCAGGAACCCCATCTGCTGAAGTTTCTGGAACACAGAAGTACCCCCACCCCCACCCTCCCGCCAGCCCCTCTGCTGAGCAGGGCCCGGATCAGGGCCTCCTCACTTCTTCTGTGTGCTGCTCCTGAGCACTTACAAAGGTCCTTTTCCTTCCTTATTTAATGGAGTCCGGAGAGGCTCATCAACCTTTCAATAGGACTGAAGTGCACCGTGTCTGCTGTGAAGAGACCCTTGGTCTCTGCTTCAGGCATCTTGCCCAAGGAAATATTTCTCATCTACTCATTCAATCAGTCATCAACCACACTTGAGCACCTACTGTATATCAAGGTTCGCAGTGTGCTATGGGTACACTGGGGAGAAAGCCTACTCCCCCCGTTCTCTTCATCTTGGAAGCCAGCTGCCTAATTGCTGAGGAGACAGCAAATAGTCATACCAATAAATATACAGGGGCCTCCCTAGGGGCACAAGGGGTTAAGTCTCAGCACTATCAAGCAATCACTGCAACCTGAGTTCTGATCCCCAGCCAGGGAGGTGATCCATATGACGCAGCAGACCTCTCCTGTCTTGCCCACTGCTCCCCTCAATTTCTGCCCTTCGAAAATGGGGTGCAAGCTTACCTCTCAAATGTCACATTGTGGCACTTTTGTCTACAAAACACCTGACTCTGCTCCTCAAGACTGTCAGGTCAGGGGAGCAAGGGAAGACTGAGACGCTGTCCCAGGAGACAGGACGGCTAAAGGCAATATGGAATCGTGCATGGGATCCTGGAACAGAAAAGGGTCCCTAATGGAAAAACAAAGGTGTCATTACTGTAGTGAAGCACCCTTGGCGTCTTTGTTTTGATAAGTCGTCAGATCAGTAGAGTTGGGGGGATTTGAAACTAACAGAGGGACATATGGGAAATCTCTATTTTTGGTAAATGAGAAATTTTGAAAAACCACACCCAAGCAGAATATCGATACTAGAAAGAAACACAGCAAAATATTAGAACAGAACAGTAAATAATATACAGAACAGTAAAGTGAGTATATTTGGGTGGAAGGAAATGAATACTTATTCTCTTCTTACCTGTCAAAGGCCTTTAATTAGGGTTTATTCCTTTAAACTTGTTTCTTTCTTCCTAATTAGAGGCTTCTCTTTTATAGTGCCAAAAAATGAAATACAGCATTTTGCACAATACCTATATCCCCTCATTTAGTCCTTACAACCAGCTGAGAAAAAATTCCTTTTCCTATTACAGGTGAAAAAACAAATTCGTGAAGTCAAAGTGACTTGCCCAAAGTGATAGAATAAGCAAGAGGGTGAGTAACTGGGAATTGAAACTTGTTGATCTGAGTCCTGAAGTACAGGGAACTGGGAAACTGAGGGATCAAGAGTCTTGGTGTCAGCAGGACAGAGTGGGGAGCAGAGCAGGCGGACAGAAGTACACTGCTGAGGGGAGCAGCGGGGGACGGAAGAGGGCTGCGGGCCACTGGGTCAGCTCCCTGGCACTGCTGCAGTGGCTGTCACAGCTGCACAGGCTGCGCTTCAACCCGTTGGGCCACCAGGAAGGGCCCCATCACGGAAGCTTCTAACTAGAACTGCCCAGTCTCTGGGAAGCTGCCGAGGGCCAGCGAGAAGGGGTCCGGTCCAGGCGGTGTTCTGCAAGGGGAGTCCGGAGTCCCGCCAGCAGCCGTCCACCCCACACCCAAAGGAGAGCAGGGGCTCCTATGGGACCCCGACCTTACAGGTGTGCGGGGCGGGCGGGCTGGGGTGCACCTCGGTGACTGCCTCATCTTCATCCTAGTTCCCCCCTCACCACGGAGTGCGGCACTGAAGGCTGGGGACATGGGGACCAGCTTTTGTGTATTCAGAGCCCCCCCCCCGGCCCCCCGAGTTTGTCAGCTCCTGATCCCATCCCCTAAGTCGGGTGTCATGGTGGGAGGTAGGGATCGCACCAGGCTTTAGAAACGCGGAAACGGGGTGGGGGTGGGGGTGGCCCCAGCACCCCCTGGGGCGGGGCTAGGCAAGCCGACACTGAGCTGGCCCGTCCCGCCTAGGTCCACCTCTGTTTTATCTGGTCCCGATTTCCCTTGCAGCCAGCACTAGACGGCGCTGCGCGCTCGCCGGCGCTCGACGCCCTCGTCGAGCAAACACTCAGGCCCAGGTGCGCCGGGCGGCTCAGGGTGGCCCCAGCACCCCCTCCACGTCGCCGAGCTTTCCGCGCCCGCGAGCGTGCGTGTGTGTGGAGCGCGCGTCACGTCACCGCCTTGCGGGGCCCGTTCGCGCGCGTCGAGCTCCCCCAGCCCTCGCCTGCCGCTCAGACTCGGCGTGAGCGCGCCCAGTGCCCCCAGGCCTGCCAGCCGCTCGCGGGCGCGGGCTCTGCCCGGACCCCCCTCCTTAAACGACCCTGCGCATGGGGGTCCCAGAGGGTCCCCGAGGACCCAGCCCAGGTTTCTCGACGGTGCGGGGGCCTCTGGGCCGCCTCAGGGCCTCCTGCGGCCGTTCCGCCGGCTCC